GATGCATTTCTAGATGTCCAAAGGCCAGCGTGGAGCCTTCAGTTTCCCTGGCTCCTTGTATTAGTTTCTGTGCCTTAGAGAAAACAGCCACCTCCCCCAGTCCTCACGGAGGGGGTCTCACGTAGCAGATGAACCCATTGGTCAACCAGGCCCAAGCTCTTGGTTATCTCTCAAACCTCTGGGATTGTTCATGCTGCACTATCTTACATTCTCACCAGCAACGTACAAGGGTTCCAACTTCCCCATTTCCTCGCCAAAGCTTGTCCATTTCCATTAAGATAAAAAATTTTATAGTCACACTAAGGGGTGTAAAGTGGTATCTTGTGATTTGGGCTTTCATTTTCCTAGTGGCTAATGATGTTGAGTATCTTTTTGTGTGCTCACCGTTTTTTGGTGTATCTTCTTTAGAGAAAGGTCTATTCAAGTGCTTTGCCCATTTTAAAACTGGGTTGTTTTATCTTTTTATTGTTGAATTGTACACGTCCTTTATATATTCTGGATACTAGGCCCTTATCAGATATCTGATTTGCAAATCTTTTCTCCCATTCTGCAGCTGGTCTTCTCACTATCCTGGTAGTGTCCTTTGATGCACAAAAGTGGTTAATTCTGTTGAAGCTTACTGTGTTTTAAATATCCTTTGACTTGAAACTATTACATATATAGCAATCAGCGAGCTTACTCTTTTATCCAACTTCCTTCCCTATCGTCCTTCTATTTGATGGAAATTTTACTATTTCTACGTTTTCACAGTAAGGCATATTTACATACTATTTGCTACTACTTTGTCTTAGTCTTTGTTCCACAGTTAAAATGCCCAGTGTTCAACAATTGTCATTTTAGTAATTTCCACAAATCTTCCAGGTTGGGTGTATCTTGTCCCTTAGAAACTGCTCAGGAAAGCTCTTGGAAACAAGATTCCTTGAGTTCTTGCATGTCCAGAAATATATTCTTGTAATTGTGCAAAAAAAATCCTCAGTGTGTACTCTTTCCTTCAGTGCCTTTAAGTTTTGCTCTGCTGTTTTCTGGCCATCATTCCATCTGATTTTTTTTTCCAATTTTGTTTTTGTTTTTGTTTTTTGAGGGGAGTTGCTTTCCTGGAGGTTTCTGTGTCTATCTTTACAGCCCAAGCGTTTTATTCGCATGCGTCTTGTGTTTACCACGGTGTGAACTTCCAATACATAGACTCGAGCCTGCTTTAATTTCAGAAATATTTTCCTTGATTAGGGTTTTATTTTTTTTAAAGATTTTATTTATGTATTTGACAGAGAGAGAGAGAGAGAGCACAAGTAGGCAGAGCGGCAGGCAGAGGGAGAGGGAGAAGCGGTCTCCCCACTCAGCTGAGCCCAAGGCAGACGCTTTACCAACTGAGCCACCCAGGCGCCCCTCGATTAGGGTTTTAAATAATTCTTTTATTTTGTTGTCTTGGTTTTCTTCTTGTGTGTGTGTGTGTGTGTATTTTGGTTTTCTTCTTTGTGCAACTTGATTTATATGTCTGTTGCGTCTCTGGTGACTTTTTATACTGAAGACTTTCTGTGAAATCATTTTAAAGCTATTTTTCATTTTTAGTTTGTGGTTCTTTGCTTTTCTTATTTTCTTTCCTTTTGTCCTTACTTGGTCTTTATTTCTGCAATGTTTTTGTCCTTGTCTTCAATCTCTCCCCTGAGGTCTGTCAGATTTCACTCCACATCTTCCTGTTACCTTGCTATTTCTTCTTTGAATTTCTATATTTCTGCTTTATGGGGGTTCTTCATAGTTTCAATTTGCTTCAGTAATTTTAGACATTCATTGAAAAAAAATTTCCAAATGCATTTTGGAATATCCATTTTTTTTAGTTTTGTGGTGACATTTTACTGAAGATTTTAAAAATCCTGTTTTAAATGTTCTTAAGCTTTGCTACTCATTTCCGCTTTTAAAAAATAGTATTTTTGTGTGGCTTATGTGATTTCCACATTTCTTTCTTATTTTGAAATCAGTAGATTTTCACGAATCAGCTAGTGAAAAGAGTATCTTACCTGAGTAGGAGGGGTGGGAAGTTAGAATGGGTTTCTTAGTTTCTTAGCTCAAGGGCTCCCTCCTTCCTTTGCTACAATAATGGGCAGTTCCTTAAATACGTGGACCTTTCATGAGTCTTAAGTAACTCGTCTGAGACAGGAGGGCTCCTACCATCAGCCATGGCCAAAGAGATATTGCTGCAGCCATTGCAAGATGATAAGTTCTCTCCTAAATATGCCTCCTCCTTCTCCTGGGTGCATTTTCTTATTTATTTTCTCTCTACACTTTCCAGTACTTGTGCTCTACCTTTCTTGTTCTCAGACCTGCTCAAGGTGGGCACTTTTCCTTCTGGGAGGTGAATATTTGCTGATGTTTGGGAGCGTAAGTAGGGGATGGATCAGGGGCGTGAACAGGGGCAGGATGGTGGCATGCTCTGTGCAGTGTCTTCATCAATGTGAATTTCAATTGCTCCCAGCAAGTCTCCCTACAGCGGCTGACAATCCAGTGACTATCTGTCCCAGACTTTTCCGCATCCAGAACTGCAGAGGGGATTCAAGTTCCTACAATCACACGCACTCATACAATAGCTGGATTCTTTTTCTGCTTGAACTACCCAAAATGATTTATTTGGACGGCATCTGAATCATACCCGACACACACTATTACATTTTTACATTATGACACTTCTATTTTAAGCACACCTTCTCAACACTGGTACTACTGGTTACATGTATCTCATTGTTTATTTAGATATAACTGTCAATTATGCTGTTTTCTTCATTCATAAGATTCCTTGAGTTCTTTTTTCTAATTACCAATTATAATTTTCTTTGATATTTCAGATCACAACAGTGACTTTTTGTTGTGACAAGTAAAAGAATTAGAAACTAGTACGTGTGAAGGAAAACCTACTAATCTGGTTTTTTTTCCATTCTCATCACCATGATGTAAGCAATATTAACAGCGTAGTATGTATTCCTTCACATCTTTATCCTCTTTTGTACATGAATAAAGGCATTTATAGCACTTTTATGTGTTTCTACTAAAGTATTATCAAACACATATATTATCCCCTAACTTGTTTTCCTGCTGGTAAGATTTCATTAATATTTCTAGGATTCAGTGCACAGAGATCTAGCGATATTCATTCTTTTTCTAATATATTTATAAATATAATAGGATCACACCAGACATGATAAATTTTTTTGGTGAAGCAATACTTTTTTGTTTCTTTTTATTTGCTTTTTTTCTCCTTCTACCTTCTTAACCTCTATCCCCCCATCAACTCTTCAGTGAACCTGTATTAATATGATGTGCAGTCTTCTTAATATAATATAGCCAGATTTGTTTAATATAACCATATTAAAAACATGCTCTCACTCTGTGCACTGTAGCCAAACACTAGCAGGTAACGTCAGATAAGATGAGGAAAGGAGACCACCCTGAGCAGTTCTGAACAGATCTTAGAATGACATTAAGTTTTTTTATTTGCAAACCATACCACAAAGGACCTTTCTCCATAATATATAAAGAATGCTTAAAAATTAAGAAGAAAAAAGGCTGGCGAATCTATTAAAAAGTGAGCAAAGGAAAAGAAGCTTTCAGAAAAAGAAATGTAAGTGGCTTCTAAAATATGCAAAAATAAAAATGAGAGAAATGCTAACTAAAAACATCAGCAAGGCATGATTTCTCACCGATCAGATTGGTAAAAAAAAAAAAATTAAACACACTGTCTGTGCCAAAGCCTGGATGCACACAGCTGATTTCATCTACTACTGGTATGGTACAAAATGGTACAACCCCCATCAAAGGACATAAGACAAGAGTATAAAAATTTCAAAAGCATCTGAAAGATGGTAACTATATGAGTTGATAGGTATGTTCATTAACTTGATTGTGGCCATCTTTTCATAATGTGCATGTATAGTAAAACGTCATATTGTACACATTAAATATATATATAATCCATTTGTCAATATACTGTAATAAACTGGAAAAAATTTCCAAATGCATTTAATCTTTGTACCAGCAAACCTACTTCTGGGACTCTAGCTTACAAGTTAATGCAAAAAGCCACGTGGGGTATAGTTTGTAATAGTGAAAGACTGAAAACCACCCAAGAGAGCAGCACTGCAGGTTTATGGAAAGCGAAGGTAATCCATAAATGATTTACCCCACAGCCTTGGAAACACACACACACACACACACACACACACACCAGGGGAAATCACCAATCAACCCAAGTACTAGAACGTTACCAAGAACCAAAAACTTAAATCAACCTGAGTCCTTCCCACCCATTCAGAATGTTTCTTGCCTCCTTTCCAGAGTTAATCACTATCCTAGATTTTGTGTGAATAGCTTCCTCATTTTCATCCACCCCTGCGTAAATGAGTTGTACCACATACATAAGTATGTCTAGACAATCTAGTGTTTCTTAGTTTTGAACCTTATACACAAGCCTATAATTCAAAATATTTTCTCTTGAGACTTGAATTTTTCACCCAGCATTATTTTTATTAGCATTGTTATGTGAGATCTAGAATCCCACCTTCCCGATTACTTATGTGGTGCATCTCAGAGATGATCCGTGTAGTGATGTGTCATTAGATTTTCAAGGCAAATTTGCCTTCGAGAGTTTTCCGCAGGGCCAGGAGGGCATGAAAGCAAAGCCCAACTTGATGCTGGGAGGGGTGAATGGTTGGGGTAGGTCTGGGTGGGCCTGCAGGAACAGGGAGTAATGGCTTTGAAATCGGAACACCGGGCCCACAGCCAGCCCTGTGTCTCTGTCAGAAAATGGGACGGCTCTCGGGGCTATCAGAGGTGATGTAACACAGTGTCTGCCATTTATCTCTGTGAAAAATCCTTGGGGAAAGCCCCAAGATCCCTTCCAATATAGGGGTGGATCCTTCCTGGCAGAATTAGGAAATGTAGGTCTTGTCTCATAGAAAATCACAGACCCACCCTCCTGGCTCCAGGCCACGCTGGGCTGCATAAAATGGATCAGCTTCAGCTCGTAGCCACACAGCTTAGACAACATGAGGCCCAGCAGCTTCTTGGTCCTGGTGGTGGTCCTTATCCTGGGGATTCTGGCGGCACAGGCCGCTATCACTGGAGGTGAGTAGACAAGTGCCCTGAGTGAGGCTGGCTTGGGCCCTGCCAAGAAGCACTCTGGGGCAGTGGGCAGGGCTGGATCTCACACTTTCTTTTAAAAATTTTTATTTATTTGAGAGAGTGAGAGAGCGAGTAAGCACATGATGGGGGAAGGGCAGAGGGAGGCGCAGACTCCCCGCTGAGCAGAGAGCCTGATGCGGGACTGGATCCTGGGACTCTGGGGTCATGACCTGAGCCAAAGGTAGACACTAACCAACTGAGCCACCCAGGCGCCCATGGATGGTCTGTGGCCGCTTCCACTGCATCCAGAGAGAGCAGGAAGTTGTCCAGTAGAATCAACATGCTTTCCACATCAGGACTGAGATATCAGGACTATTGCTGGAAGGAGTGTTGTTACGTGGTTGTGGCCTCAGGTGTGGATACCTGGGCAGAATGTGCAGTGAAGTGAGGAGCCCCAGGAATCTGGGCCTGGGTGTGGGGTCTGGCCCCTGCCTGTCTGCCCCCTGAAGGCATCTGGGTAATCAGCCTCTAAAAGGAGGTTATACACCAGCGAGACCTCAGAAGCCATGTAGTTTGAAGATCCCCATTTTATGAGGGAGGAGACTGTCCAGGAGCTCGCATCTCCTGGTGTGTGTCTCAGGCACTCCCCTCTCCCCCAAGAGCACCATGTGTCCTTCTCACCTCTGCGAGTCACCCCAGTCTGACCTCTCCTTCTGAAAGGACTTGTCATGGAGGGTGGGGGGATAAACGGACACCCAAGGGAACCTTGGTTTTGTAGATCCTCTCCCCAAAGCCCGGGGCACAGCCTTCCCGGGGTACAGACAGCAGTTGCCCAGAAGACCCTGCCCCACCTCAGGCCGTGGTTTGGACAACACAGCAGTGAGGAGGGGCTGGACGTGGAGGAAAGACTAGATAGTGAAGCAGGCACACACGGGCTACATGTGGCGACATTTGTTCTTTCAACAATTCCTCCTAAAGGGCAAGGCACTGACAAAGGTCGTGTTCCGGTCAAAGGACAAGATCCGGTTAGAGGTCAAGATCCAGTCAAAGCCAAAGGTCCCGGGTCCACTAAGCCTGGCTTCTGCCCCCACATTCTGATCCAGTGCGCCATGTTGAACCCCCCGAACCGCTGTCTGAGCGACACCGAGTGCCCGGGGGCCAAGAAGTGCTGTAAGGGCCCTTGTGGGCTGGCCTGCTTGGATCCCCAGTGAGGTGAGAACCAGGTGGAGGAGGAGGGGACCCTGAGGGCACAGAGAAGGCTGAGCAATGGGGAATGACCCCGGCTGGTTGAGAGAGAGGCTGCGGGGAGGTGGCTGAGAGACCAAGAGTCTCAGAGCCCGTGACCGAGTCCTGAGAGGGCTGCCACCTGGATGTGACCCTGCCCCCCACTGCCCCTGAGTGCTTTGAGCGGCTGAGTCACCTCTCCGGTTCTCTTCTCTCCCAGCCAGGTGGAGCCTGTCCTTGCTGCACCTGGGAAGTCCCCAGGGCTGCTGGTTCTGGCCCCTGTCGCATGGCCCTCTGCCTCCCTGGGCGTTCCGCCTCCCGCTCAGGATGCCCAAGTCTGGGCTTGGCTGCCTCCCTTCTTGACTTTGTAATAAAAGACGACTTTCTGCTTCGTTTGCTTCTGGCTCTCCTGACTCCTGTGCTCCCGGGCGCCCCAGGGAGATGGGTGGGGGGCTGGGACTCCCTCTCCCGGGTGGGTGTGAAGGAGAGCAGTGCCCGAAACAAGGGGCCCATTCCTGGGGCTTAATACTAGAAATCCACTAATCGACCCCAGACCCGGAGTCTGCATTTCAGTAGGGAATTCTGCCTTTGGCCTAAGCCCAGGGAAATAAGAAACTAAGCAGGACACAAACTGCAGGCTGTTTCTTTCCTCTCCCATCAACCCCGCGATCTGACCTGGCTATCGCCAGCCCTGCCGGCGGGACCAACCAACCCTAGTGGCTAACCCTCTAGCTCCCTCCCGCCTTTCCTTTTCATGTTCCCCAGGGTTCCACATCCTCCCAAGAGGCCACAGAAAGAAGCAGGGAAATCCCCGCTCTTGAAGCATTTCACCTGTCCCTGCCTGAGATGCCTCCATTAACAATTAATTCCTTTGGGTTAAGCCATACCCTCCCCCGGATTTCTATTTTAAGATGTGAATGAGGAGCCAGGACACACCAAGCCCTTGATCCTTTAGTGTGGGTGGTGAATCGTGTCCTCTGGAGATGCACAGGGTGGGGGCAGGCAGATTCGAATGGTGCAGACCGTGGAGGGTGTGTTAGGCAAACTCGGACGACCTCAGGGCTCTGCTGTTGACCCACCTGCTTCACTGCCCTTGAACAAGGAAGCTCTCCCAGAAAGAGAATTTGGGATGGAGTTGAAATTGCACAGGCTTAGGAGTCAGGGGACCTGTGTTCTAGTGCAGAGCCTCCCCACTTGCTGGATGACCTCAGACGAACGTCTTTCCCTCCCTGAGCCTCAGTTGTCTACTCAATTTGAGGGGGTTGGATGTAATTATTCGGGAAGTACAGTCTAGCCCTGACATTCTGGCCCTGAGACAACTCTCCTTTTTGTGTTGGGTTCCCACTGTGAGCGGAAGTGGGGGGCAGAGCCTCGGGGTGAGAGAACAGGGAGCACTGTGTCCTTTGCCCCTTCGAGAGGCATGCAAGCCAGGGCTCCCTCTCATTCTCCAGGAGACTGGTTGCACTGCAGTGGACCTGTGATAGCAGGACATCCTGGAAAGTAGGCAAGAGCCATGCCCAAACTTCTGGCCTGACAAGTACAAGATACACCACTGGTAGTAAGATTAGTTTATGTATTGACTGCTTCTCTGTTCCAGATCCTATACTAACTGTGTTATATGTACTGTCTTATTTATTTCTCGTAAGAACCTTCTCAAATGGGTATTATCTCATAACTTTAATTTTGTTAAAAGATTGAAGCCATGAGAGGTTCAGTAACCATCCACAGTCACATAGTTAGTACATGATAAATCCCATTTTTATTAGAATGAGCAATAATCAGAAGAAAAATTTTTAAATCCCACTTACATCAGTCAGAAAAAGACAAATATCATATGATCTCACTCACATGTGGAATTTAAGAAAGAAAACAGATGACTATATGGGAGGGGAGAGAAAGGAGAGAGAGAAACAAATCGTAAAGAGACTCTTAACGATAGAGAACAAACTGAGGGTTGATGGAGGGCGGTGGGTAGGGGATGGGCTGGATGGGGGATGGGCATTAAGGAGGGCACTTGTTGTGATGAGCACTGGGTGTTGTATGTAAGTGATGAATCACTGAATTCTACTCCAGAAACCAATATTGCACTGTATGTTAACTAAGTAAAATTTAAATAAAAAAATAAAATAGAATAGAATAAAATCCAACTTATAATATCAACAAAATCATACCATTCCTTTAAATAAACGTAACAAGAGGTAGGCAGAACTTTAAAAAAGAAACCTACACAACTGTTCACGAAGATTGAATAAATGCTGTGCTTCTGAAAGGGAAAATGCCCCATGGGGAAGATATCAACATTTACCTCTTCAATTTACTTTTTCCCCCAGCTTTATTGTGATAAAATTGACATACGGTGTAATTTAAGGTGTACATGTAATCATGTGATTCACATATATATTGCAAAATGTTTATCATGATAAGGGTAGTTAGCAAATCCTTCACCTCACATAATTACCATTTTGTTGTTATGGTGAGAACATAAAGGCTCTTCTCTGATGCAACTTTCAAGGATACAACACAACATTGTTGACTGTATTCACCACGCTCCATGTTAGATGCCCAGAATGTGTTGGTCTTGTAACTGAGAGTTTGTGCCCTTTGACCAGCCCATTTCCTCCACCCTCCGGTTACCACCCCGGCTACCACCATTTTACTCTGTGTTTCTATGAGTTGATATTTTTAGATTCCACCTAAGTGAAATCATACAGTATTTGCCTTTCTCTGTCTGGCTGATTTCATTTAGCTTAATGCCCTCAAGGTCCATCCATGCTGTCAAAAATACAGGAACTCCTGTCTTTATATGGTTGAATACACCACGTTTTCTTCATCCATTCACCTGTCAATGGACGCTCCCATCTCACTAAAGCTGGAGAAAAAATTCACCACACTTCCAGAGTAGCTGTTGTCCTTATCAATTTAAATCTTCAAGTACATTCTTTCACAACTATAGAATTCAACAACAAGAAGAAAACCACATAAGCCCCCTGACATCAATATAGTCAGAAGTCAGGGAACAGCAAAAACTTCAAATTACCTTTATTGAAAAGACTCTTGATTTTCAAGGAGGTATCTTTTGAACTCTTGCCTCTACCCTTTTCAGAGAGCAAAGTGAGGTCCAGAAATATCTGTGTCAAGAAGAAGAGATGAGTGGAGAGCCTAGAACTGACCTAAAATCATTCCCAGAGAGGATGTCTCCATTAAGTGTGAAAATCCCAGAAAGGAGACTGAGTAGAGCACAGCATTCTGTGGATTAGCACACCATTCCTCCCAGTATTAACAAACACCCTACATTCCTCTGGTACAGGTGTCATGATTAATGAAGCAATATTGATGCATTAGTGTAAACTAAAGTCCAAACTTCATTCCTATTGCCTTATGTTCTTTTTCTTTTTCGGAATCCCACCCAGGATACCATGTTACATTTAGCCATTGGGTGTCTTTAGGCTCCTCTTGGCTGTGACAGTTTCTCTGACCTTCCCCATTTTGATGACCTTGACAGTTTAGAGGTGCACTGATTAGGCAGTTGGGTAGGTCTGATGTTTTTTCTCATGGTTAGACTGGGGTTATGGGTTTTTTGGAGGAAGACCACCAAGGGGGAGTGTCCTTCTCATCACATCATGTCAAGGGTACGGACTATCATTGGTGATGCTGACTTATCATTGGTGATGCTGACCTGATCATTAGGCTGTTGGGTTCATCAGGCTTCTACACTGTAAAGTTCCTTTTTCCCCCTCCCTCTTTCCATATTATTCTCTCAGGGAGAAAGTCACTGTGCATATCCCACACTTAAGATACTCCTTGATGCTGAGGAATTTAAGAAACAAAACAGAGGATCATAGGGGAAGGGAGGGAAAAATAAAACAAGACAAAATCAAAGAGGGAGACAAACCATAAGAGACTCTTAATCACAGGAAACAAACAGGGTTGCTGGAGGGGAGGGGGCTGGAGGGATGGGGCAATTGGGTGAGGGACATTAAGGGGGGCATGTGATGTAATGAGCACAGGGTATTATATAAGACTGGTGAATCATTGACCTCTACCTCTGAAACCAAGAATACATTATATGTTAATTGAATTTAAATAAAAATAAATTTTTTAAAAGATACTCCTTGAGGGGGAGGAAGCTCAATTATTTGGAATTAATCTGTATGGGAGATTTGTCTATCCTCCTTGTTTTTTCATTTAACTATATCAGTGTGGACTTACAGACATTTTATACTTTGGGTTGCATTTTATTTTGTTGCTCAAGTTGTCAGAAGGACACATTTAATGTTATTAACCAAAATTCACCGGAACGATATGCGTTGTAAGCACCACATAACACATATAACATTCTCCTTCACAAAGAAGTAACTACAGCAAAACAAATGGACAAACAAACAAAAAATGGAAACAGACTCATAAATACAGAGAACAAACTGGTGTTGCCAGAGGGGAGGGGAGTGGAGGATGGGCAAAACAGAGGAAGGAGATTAAGAAGTGCAAACTTCCAGTTATGAAATAAATAAATCATGGGGATGAAAAGGATAGCATAGGGAATATCGTCAATAACATTTTAGTAACACTGTATGACAGGTGGTGACTATGCTTATCATGGTGAGCATTGCATAATGTACAGAGTTGTCCATTCACTATGCTGTGCACCTGAAACTAATATCATATTAGTTCACTTCAATTAAAAAAAAAGAAGTAACTACAGGATATGCAAGGAGACATAGATTGCAGCTCACCAACGATAGAATTTAACACACTATCATTGTAAGATGGTTCACGTGAACAACAAAAAACAAGGATACAGAAGATCAGAGGAGAGTACCCTGAAATACTTATGTCAATAAAAACAAAATAATAAAAATAAGTACATCAAAATTTACATCAAAAAAGCCAGGAAAAAAAAAAGGATAGAGTAAACCAAGGGACATCTAAAAAAGTAATAATAGTAAAGGTAAAATAATAAATTTATGAGGTTGAGGATGGGAAAACAGTAGCTGTAATTAATAAATCAAAATCTTATTTTAAAAAATATTTACTGAATAGGCAAACATCTACCTTCTTAACCTAGATAAAAAGAAAGGAAGCAGAAATAAATAAAATGAAGCACCACGGTGGAAACAAGTACTGAGAGAGACAATCATCCTGAGGCCACTCAGACCAGCTTCTCTCCTCACCCGTTCAGGCTGCTGTCCTGAGGATGAGGAGGCGGAGGGAGGGAGGGAGGGAGGACGCTGCTGGGTGTGGTGTGCCTGGTTTTTGTTAGCGGGAGGACAGAGGGGACCAGCGACTCTCTTCCCCGATGCACTGATGCACGGCAGGGCTGTTGTTTTCAAGGCTGGTGGGAAATGATGTTTCAGCTTTACAGAGCCAGCCTGGGGACAAACATCAGGAGAAT